CTCTGCCCCTCGCCGTAGAGAGAGCGGCTCTGTCGCCGGGGCGGGGGGACAGAACGCGCGCCTTGGCCTGAGGTCCGACGCAGAGGCCGGATGTCCCCCCACCACCAGGTCCCCCGGGTCCCCGGTTGCGCAGCGTTGCGGTGGGGGTGCCGCCAGCACCGGCGGTCTGAGCAGGGGGGCGGGGAACAAAGCCCAGATGTGGAGCCAGCGGGGGAAGAGATCGCTTCAGGCTGAACTCACCAATGTGTTAGGAATTAAACTCGGATACACACGACTGCAGATTGCTTTTAACCCCGAATGGCGCGTCTCTCCCCGCTCCCCACGCACCCTGGCGCCCTAGTCTTCCCAGCCCCTGCCTGGGGCCCTCTGGCCTTCCCACCGGTTGCAAATCTAATCCCTTTCCCCCAAAGCACCTTTGGACCCCAGGCGGCCCGGCCCGCGCCCAACAGCTGCTCCTGCGGGGTTCCTCCGGCCGCGCCCCCGGCCTTGGCTGAGCTTGGATTTTATGGAAGGGGCCCGGGGTGATAATGAGCTGCCAGGGAGGATATTAATCTCGCCCCGGCGGAGCTGGGGGGGAGCGGCCCGCTCACCCGCGCGGCCCGGCTCATCTGAACTCGTTTATCAGCTGGGAGCGGCGGGGAGGAGCGGGGGAGGGGCCGCTCACCCCGCGCCCAGGTGACCCGGCGAGTGCGAACCAGAAGGAGAAGGCACAGGGGGGAGGAAGAAGCAGTGTCGCCGCATCACCGCCTTCCTCCTGCCGGCAGAGGCCCGGCTCGGCCGCGGGTGGGGGGCGAGGCCGGCATGTGTGCAGCACATGGCGCGGGCCTGGCTCGGCCGCGGGTGATTGATTGATGGTGCGCGCTGCCGAGCGTTATTAACCCAAAGCCATTGCAGCCTGGCCGAGAAGCGTTCTTGTCGCCCACTGCTGTCCTCGCGGACGTTTGCCCAGATCCCAGAAATCCGTTCCGGGCCAGCGCTGGGAGGTTCTGCGCAGGGGACAGGGGCTAAGCCGAGGAGTGAGAAGCACCACGTTCTTTGAGGCCATCAGGGAAACCTGTGTAAGGGACACCCGGGCCACACGGACCCCACATGCCAGTCGAGTGTAGCCAACTGAAGCTTATTTTCTGAAACATTCAAATAATGCGTTTTCACTTCCGGAGCGCCAGCCGAGCAAGGAGACCCTCGAGGAAACAGGAAAATAAACACCCCGAGTCCAGAATCCCTCTCCTGGGGTTCAGAACCCGGGACAGATGTGAGCCAGGCTCCCAGACACGCGCGCACACCTGGCCTCAGGTACTTTTTACCAATGCTTCGCACCTGCGACTCCGCAGCAGCGGGATCAAGTTCCCGGCACAGCTCAGCACCCAGAAAGGAGGTGGTCCCGACACCCCTCTGCGATTCTGATTGTCACCTTCTGCTGTCAATTGTGAACACACACCTCCACCGTTTCAACAACAAAAACAGCAAAGCCCGCTGTCATAGCTCCCCCCGCCCCAAGAGATTTGCACGCTCGTCCAGTAAAAAACCAATTTATTTTACATTCCATCGTGGGCGATGGGAGAAGCTAAATAATAATTTAGCATGCATAAGTAGACGTTTCTTTTTATATATAAATACAATGTACAAAAATAAAGACAGTACGGCTTTGAGATTTCCAGCAGTTTGAATGCTCATGACAAAGTTTTTTCCACGTAAGATACACAAAACTTTTTTTTTTTTCAATACTCAGCAGAATGGCGTTTCCAGAGACGGTTTCAAGCTCTGAGGTCCGTTAACACTGCAGGTTCTCGCTTTCTCCTTCAGGGGAGAGGGGCCGGGAGGCTGTCCGTGTGGGGTAGGCTGTTGTCACCAATACCTCCCCGACACTGACCGAAATTAAATGTAAAAGAACAGCACTTCAAATCGGAACTCGCTGGGCCTCCCTGTGTCCCTTGACGAGCAGACCGGTGCTGTGGCCCAAACGGGCAGCCCCCAGGACGAGCTGGGACCCGCGCCCGTGTCCGCGGCCGGCCGGGGCCCTACTGGGGCGGGGGCTGGTGCCCAGGCCGCGGCGGCGGCGACTCGGCCCCGGAGGAGCAGTCGGAGCAGGCCGCGTGCGTGCTGGCACCGTTGCTGTAGGCGAAGTGGTCGTCATCGTCGTCGTCGTCCTCCTCCTCCTCGGGGTCACTGTCCCTCAAGTCCCGCAGACGGCGTCCGCTGCCCTTGTCCGCGGGCGCCGGCGGCCCCAGCAGCTCCTCGTCGCCCTTGTCGTCGGCGCCGGCCCTGCCCGCGCCCCCACCGCCCCTCTGCTTCTCCGCCTCCTGCGCCGCCTGCTCTTTGGCCTTTTTGCTGCGTTTCCACTTCATCCGCCGGTTCTGGAACCAGATCTTCACCTGCGGGCACAAGCGGGCGTGAGACGCCGCCACCTTCCCGCACGTCCTTCCTTCCGAGGCCCCGGCTCCCGCACCTGCCCCTGCCCCGGGGCGGGGTCCAGACCGGAGGAAGCAGAAGCCCCAGGGGTGCAGCTCCCCGTCCTGTCCCCAAACCCGGGACGGGAGGGGATCCTGGGGGGCTGGGACCAGGACCCCACCTCCCCGGCCTTTCTGCACAGCGCGCACGCTCCGTCTGCGGAGCGAGGACCGGGGACTGAGGACCTGGGCAGCTGGGTCCGTGGCTGTGCGTGCCAAGGTGTCCCCGCCTCTCTGGAACAAAATTTCTCAAAAGTGGCCCCAGGATCACCTGCTTCAGAGTGGGGTGGGGGCGGGGTCATTAAAATGCAGATTCCTGGGCCTCGCGCCTACGGCATCAGACTCGTAGGCGGGTCTGTGAACCGTGGCGGGGACATGCGAACTCCCCGATATTAATCCGCACCCCAAAAGTGGAAAGGGCGCAGCTCCAGGTGCTCAGGGCGGCGGAGGGCCAGGAGTGCAGAGGTGACCGTGTCGTCTGGAGACCGCGGTGCGTTGAGATGTGTGTGCGTGGGGGTCAGGGGTGCAGCTCACCTGGGTCTCGGTGAGCATCAGCGATGTGGCCACCTCGAAGCGCTTGGGCCGGGACAGGTACTTGTTGAGCTTGAACTGGTGCTCCAGCTCCAGCAGCTGCTGGCTGGTGAAGGCCGTGCGTGGCCGGCGGCACTTCCCCAGGAGGCTGGACTGCGCCTGGGCTGCGGGTGCAGGGCCGTGAGGCTGTGAACGCTCAGTCTTCCGCGGGTCCCACCCCACCTCCCACCGCCTCGGAAAGGCGGCAGGGTCTCTGTACTTCCCTCAGAGTCCTCGACCCCTCCCCAAGGGCTGCGTGGGCAACAGGCGGCCCCGGAGGCCAGGTGGGTTTCATGGGACCAAGTCTTTCTATCTCCCACAGGGCCTGGGTGTCCCGATTAAAGAGAGCATGTCAGCCAGGCCCGCCCCCTCCACCTCGGTGGGCGCTGGGAGAAAGGTTGACAAAGGCCTGAAGCAGAATCGGGAGTGGCAAGCCACCTGCCACCTCCCACCTCCCTCGCACCCTTCCCGGACTCAGGCCCGGATCCAGACAGGTTCTGGGATCACGGCTTCTTCCCACCCAGTGAGGGGCTGTGCGGGTTTGGCAGCGCTGCCTCTGAGCACAAAAAGAGACAAGGAAAAAGGGAAGGAAGGAAGGAAGGAGAGGGACAAAGTCCTGGGCCTAAATGTGTATCATCAGAGACCCTCGCCCATGTGAAATGTTCTTGACGACCAGCCCAGCCCAGGGGACAGAGGGGCAAAGCCTGGGGAGCCCGCAGGCCTTTTCTGGGACAATTCTCCTTATGCAAAGGAAAGGCCTCAGAAGGGCCTCCACGTTCCATACATTCGAGGAGGGCTCCCCCTTTATTTACATAATTTCACACGGTTACATCACAGAGAATTTTATGACCTCAGAACTAGGCTTCCCTTGATTTCCCAGGAGCCCGACAAACCTTAGACAATAAAAGAAAAGGGGAGAGAAGAAAAGAGGCCGCGCCCGCCCGGCTCCCCAGAGATGGGCAATTTGCTCTATGGGAAGGCCCACGCCCCCCGCTTTAGTTAAACAAGGCCCCGAATTCCCAACTTGACAATACATTAGAACTTTAATTAAAACGCTGGCTCCGAAGGGACCATTTGGGAAATGCCATCCCAATTAAAGGACCCGAACAGGTTTTCCGACACAGGGGGGCTGCTGGAAACACGTCTCGCGCCCTCGCCTGTTCACTGCGCCCGGGGCCCCACATTCCTCCCCGGCCCTGCAGCCCTCTGCGTGTTCGCTCTGCTCCCTCTGGGTCGAGATTAGGAGCCAGAGACGGGCGAAGCGTGCTGGCAAGGGGACGTGGCTTTAATGGATTCCCTGAGCCAACCGTGGGCTCCACGCAGGCCCGAGAAATGACCCGGGTGGCCGGGGACCCAGCACCCAGGGGAGGCTAGAGCGGAAACCGCTCACACACAGTGGGAGAGGGAGCGTCCCCGGCTCTGGGAAACTCAGGTCATAGCGAGAAGTCCTGGGCTGGCTTTCCATCAGAGAGACGGCACGGGGCTCGGTGGTGGACCTGGAAGGGGCCCAGGGTCTGGCTGGCCCGGATCAGCAGGTTCGGCAGTGTCTGAAGTGGCAGCACCTTCCCCGCCCACCCCAATTGAGAGATGGGAGCGGGCTTTGCCTCTTCTTTGTGGGGGCTCCGGAGGGGGTGACTCTCCAATGAGAAGGGATGAGTAGCCACGAGGGCCTCGGGAGCTGAGAGCCGAGCGGGGAAGGGGCCAGGGAAGGGACCAAGGTGGTGGCCTCAGCACACAGTGCCCAAGCTGGGATTTTCTCACCAGCCCGTGACCCCTCCAGCCCTCCCGGGTCCTAGCTTTTCTCTGTTTAGTCACAACTGTGGCTTCTAGCAGAGGAATCTGAATCCCGGCAAGTGTTTATTTCTGTTTTTTCTTTGGCTTTTTCCTCTTTTGCCTGCATCTCGTCAGTCTAAACAAACCCACCCAGACGGAAACAATGCGGTCTCTTTGTTTGGGTGTTGGGCGCTAGAAGCATAAAGCCTCCTGCTCCTCCTCTGACGGGACCCCCTGCCCGCTGCGGGAAAGCCCCAGCGGCCCAGGCCTCTGCAGAGTGTCCCACCTGGGTGTGGAGCAGGCTGTCCGCATCCACTGCCCTGCGGTTGGGGGTGGCTGGCCCTCCCTTGCTTCTCCTGGGGGAGGGTTTGGTACTGTATTGGGCGCCCCCCAGTCTGGGTAGGAGGCCCTGCTACTGAGAGTTCCGGGATGGGGTTCCTGACGGAGGCACATCTCCCTGCCTGCAGGGCCACCCATAGGCTCAAGTCAGGCCACCCGCCTTCTGGGCTACGCGCCCTGGACTCAACGCCGTTCCAGCGGCCGCCAGCGGCCAGGAGGTCGCCGCGGCTGTGGCCTTGCAGCCCTGGGCCTCTTGGAACTCATTTCTCTCTGGCTGCTCCCGGATCTCTCCCTCTCCTGCGAGGGCCCCGGGTACTCTCCGGATCCCAGAATGCGGGATCCGAGTCAAACCTGTTTCCCTGGGCTACGCGCCTCGTTCAGTGGCCTCCGGTCCCCAGGCCACCTGCCTCGGGCTCCCTTCGGCTCTCCTTCCCCCACTCCCTTGTCCACTCGCCTGCCGGTTAATCATTAGATCTCAGTCCCACACCTCCAGCTGCCCGTCCCGTTAAAACAGAAAGAGAAGGCAAGGCCCGCGCGTGGCCATTTTAATAATCCGCTGCCAAAGGGAGCCCTCGCAGGCCGCGGGCGGAGCCGAGGCGGCTTCGCGGCGCTTCCACCGCAGAGAGCGAGAGGCAGGAGGCGGGAGCGGATGCGCGAGGCCCTCCCGGGCCCGCGGGCTGCGCGGTACTCACAGTTAAAGTCGGGCATCTTGGGCAGGATCATGCCCGCGGTGGACGCACGCAGCCACTGGTCCAGCTGGAAGGTGCCGGCGCCCAGCTTGATGGGGTCGGCGGGGTGCGCGGGGTGCGCGCCCTGCACCTGCGGATACGAGTAGGAGAGCGCCGGGTGCTGGCCGGCCAGCGCGGCCGCCGCCGCCGCCGCCGCCGAGTAGCCGTAGACCGGGTGACCGTAG